GCTGTGCGCATGCCAGTCCCAGAGAGGTCGCAGAGATGGGCCGTTTTTCACAAAAACGGGGGCATTTTCCCCTTCCCCCAGCCCTGCTGAAGCCTGCAGAGTGCTTTTGGAAGTTGGGGGAAGGCAAATCGCCTCTGTTTTTGTGAAAAAGGGCCCATCTCTGCGACCTCTCTGGGACTGGCATGCGCACAGCATTTAAAAAGGGAGAATGAAGATTGTTCCGCGCATGTGCAGAACAGAAAATAAAGATGGCGGTGTCCAGGATAGAACCAGTACAGTCACGTGTGCAGCCAAGTTACTGCCTATTTACTGAACCGGTAGGAACCCACCTCTGTCTTCTAGTCCAACCCCTGCTCAAACAGGAGACCCTATACCATTCCTGACAAATGGCTATGAAATCTCTTCTTCAAACCTCCAGAGGGAAGCCGTTCCACTGATTAACTGTTCTCATATACTTTCTATCAACTCAGTATTTTTCTCCCTTTGGTGTCCCATTCCTGCTGTGATAAAATGTCTCTGCAGTTTTAATTTGATAGTTAAATGTCTACAAAATCCTTGGAAGCTGCTTCTATTAGTTAGCTTTTAATTTATAATTTTTGATAACGGGTTTTATGGTATTTTTATGGCACTTTGCCTGTACCCTATCTTGAAAAGGCTTATTTAAAAGGCAGCATGTAAATCACAAACAGATCCATGAAAATGGAGTTATGCTACTTTTAAGACAGACCCAATAAATTCTTGTTAAAGCCAACAGTTTAGTAATTGCCAAATAGATTTATGTCCTATTCCAACATGGATTCAGATCATTTTTTACAGTTAATAGCTGTAAGTGGTGGAAATTCTTTAATGTCTATGAAGGAACAAATGAACAGATGAAACAGATGAATACTTTCTTAGGTTACTTGTGCTTCTATTAAGTTGTGGGAGGTATATTTTATTTAAATAATATGGAGATATCATGTTCTGACATTTGAAAATGTAATATAGTACTTACTTATAGATCAGGGAGAAGGCACTGATCTCAAGTTGTCCAGCACTTTCCTGTTTAACAGAAGGGAAATGAAGTGATTACTTTGCAATATAGCAATTTTGGGGTGACTCCAACAAAAGCCTTCGTCTATTGCTCAATATAGTTAATGACACAAGCATAAATGTTCATGTTAGATTACCATAACGCATGCCACAGAGAGGTCTCCATGAAAATTCAAACACAGCAGTGAGTCCCAAATCAAGCAACTACATGATTGAATAGAAAAACAGAGTTGGAAGGGACCTTGGAGGTCTTCTAGTCCAACCCCCTGCATAGGCAGGAAACCCCACACCACTTCAGACAAATGGTTATCCAACATCTTCTTAAAAACTTCCAGTGTTGGAGCATTCACAACTTCTGGAGGCAAGTTGTTCCACTGATTAATTGTTCTGTCAGGAAATTTCTCCTTAGTTCTAAATTGCTTCTCTCCTTGATTAGTTTCCACCCATTGCTTCTTGTCCTGCCCTCAGGTGCTCTGGAGAATAGTTTGACTCCCTCTTCTTTGTGGCAACCCAAGATATTGGACCACTGCTATAATGTCTCCCCTAGTCCTTCTTTTCATTAAACTAGACATACCCAATTCCTGCAACCGTTCATGTTTTAGCATCCAATCCCTTAATCATCTTTGTTGCTCTTCTCTGCACTCTTGGTAGAGTCTCCACATCTTTTTTACATCATGGCGACCAAAACTGAATGCAGTATTCCAAGTGTAGCCTTACTAAGATATTATAAAGTGGTATTAACCCTTCACGTGATCTTGATTCTATCCCTGTTTATGCAGTCTAGAACTGTGTTAGTTTTTTTGGCAGCTGCTGCATACTGCTGGCTCATATTTAAATGGTTGTCAATTTGGACTCCAAGATCCCTCTCACAGTTACTACTATTGAGCAAGGTACCACATATACGGTACCTGTGCATTTTGTTTTTCTTGCCTAAACATAGAACCTTACTTTTTTTCACCATTGAATTTCATTTCATTGAATCAAATTAGACCAGGAGATTTCCAAACCTAGCAACTTTAAGACTTATCAATTCCTAGAATTTCCCAGACAGCCATGCTAGCTGAGGAATTCTGGGAATTGAAGTCCATAAATCTTAAGGTTGCCAAATTTGGACACCCCTGAATTAGACTATCCAACATTGGTTACTTTGGAGAGAGTCCTCAACTTCTTATGACCATTTGTTTAGTGACCATTCAAAGTTATACCAGTGCTGAAAAAAGTGACCTACAACCAGTCTTCACAAAAATGTCACAGGGCACCTACAGTCACTTGACCAAAATTACAGTATTTTCAATCACATACCCCAAAACTCCCCTGAGCCAATAGGTAGGATATCAGCATTTTCATAAAAGTAAATTGAAATACGCTATTTTCTTAAAGAGCAAAGGTTACACAGAAATGCAAGGGAAATGGGTGCATTATAGCATCAATGTATTACTTTATTTGTTTAATGAGCATAATAACTCAAGAAAAATGCAGTAGTAAAGTTGATGTCAGCTTCCACATTTTTATTAAAAAAGATAACTTGTTTGATGGAAAAAGAGAGACCTACATTTCACTTTTGAAGTTACTATTACTATTTTGCAAGACTAGCAATAGCAATATAGCAATAGCAGTAGACTTATATACCGCTTCATAGGCCTTTCAGGCCTCTCTAAGCGGTTTACAGAGAGTCAGAATATTGCCCCCAACAATCTGGGTCCTCATTTTACCCACCTCGAAAGGATGGAAGGCTGAGTCAACCCTGAGCCGGTGAGATTTGAACCGCTGACCTGCTGATCTAGCAGTAGCCTGCAGTGCTGCATTTTAACCACTGCGCCACCTTGGCTCTTCAACTAAAATCTGAATAGGAATTTTCTCCATATAAGACCCTTATATGTATCAGACAGCATGTATGTATGTCCATGTATCATAATTAATAAAGCAAATATAACCCATCTGGTTTGGGAAAAATTGATCTGTAGCATAGGCTGGTCAGTAAACAAAACCAAATTGAATTTAAATACTAGGTAAGGAAAATCCCACATTCAAATAGTTCTCAACTTTTGAACCCCATATTTCTGTTGTTAAGCAAGACAGTTGTTAAGTGAGTTTTATCCCATTTTGAAACCTTTTCTTATCACAGTTGTTAAGCAAATCTTTGAAGTTGATAATTGAAGAGGATAATTAGAACTACAGAAAAAACAATTGCTGCCCACTGAGGACCTGTACACTGCACAAGTCGAAAAGAAAATATTTACAGACCCCTCGCATCCTGGACATAAATTGTTTCAACTCCTACCCTCAAAACGATGCTATAGAGCACTGTACACCAAGACAACTAGACACAAGAACAGATTTTCCCACCAATGCCATCACTCTGCTAAACAAATAATTCCCTCACTCCTGTCAAACTATTCACTAAGGCTGCATTTCTATTACTATCAGTACTCTCATCGTTCCTATCACCCATCTTCTCCCATCTATGTAACTTTGTTGCTTGTATCCTTACAAATTATATTGATATTGTTTCCTGATTGCTTATTTGTAACCTATGACTATCATTAGGTGTTGTAACCTTATGATTCTTGACGAATGTATCTTGTCTTTTTATGTACACTGAAAGCATCTGCACCAAAGACAAATTCCTTGTGTGTCCAATCACACTTGGCCAATAAAGAATTCTATTCCATTCTATTCTCTTCTCTTCTATTCTATTTACTTTGCTTGTCTGAAGCCTGCTGGAAAGTTACAAATGGTGATCACATGATCCTGGGACCATACAACCATCATAAATATATGCCAGTTAGCAAGCACCTGAATGCTGCAGCAGTCATTAAGTGTGAAAAACTAGTCATAAGTCACTCTTTTCAGAGCCATTGTAACTTTGAACGGCCACTAAACAAACGGTTGTAAGTCAAGGATTATTTGTACAGCTTTATATTTTACCCTGCTTTAAACTTTCAAGGGCTTCTGTTCAGCGGTTCTGATGAACATAGAGCATATTTGCCAAATCTTTCTTACCTTGGGATTTCCAAGTCGTTGCAAGTATTTTTCAAATGAGCCTTCCACATACTTGTTTGAGAGAGAGAGAGAGAAAGGGAATGCAATTAGTGATTTTGCTTTTACCCATCATCCTAAATTCTGAATAAAACCTTCAACTCAGGTTTTAGATCACCAATCTGTGAAAGCCAAAACTTTGCACTCATGTTAGCAGCTCTGAAGAACTTCCAGGTTGAAAGGATTAACTGGTGATATCTCTGCCACCTTGGGGACAACCCAGTTGGGGATTTCCTTTCATGTCTCCAGCAGGAGCTAGAGTGAAAGATGAGAGCTCAACCCCGCCCCACAGCAGCTCTCCAACATGGGCTTCCTAATCTCCTGCCAGCGTCCCAACCAGTTGAGCCACTGCACTCCACAGCCACTGACTCACACTGATACATGGTTACAGCACACAATTAATTGACCAAAACTGTGCCTTGTGCATCTATGTATGATTTCATGTTGAAACATCACAGTAAATACATTATCAGATGTTGCAACATGAAAGAAAGTACTAAATAAAATGGGAGAAAAACTGAGCTGATTTATAGTGGAAAATATCAGGAGCATATAACACTTTTTCCAAGTAACATAAGTTTTTGCAAAGTACAATTTCCTCTATCAAATAAACAGTGGCTAACTATTTTATGCAGCTGATAAAAGGGAGTTGCAGCTCACAAAAACGTGTGTCTTTTAATAACATTTGGAAAGATGCTAGTGTCTTCTGATTTTTACCACCAAAGACTGACACAACTCACTACATCACAGTGTCTTGATTTGGAGATCTGACACAATAAAGTATGTGTGTGCCTATACAGATATCTGCAAATGTCAGTCATACTGAAATGCAAACCCACTCCCCTCCAGCACTGATATTATTATCTAATTTGGTAGTGAAAAGTCTGCAAGAAAACCACCAAGCTCAGAAAGCAGCAGGGATCCTACATACTAATGATTTGGTCTAATATTTTTTTTAATTAAACTTCAATATTGCCTGACACTCAACTCTGAGCAGCTAAGAAAATTGCTATATAACAAAAATTAGGATTTAATTTCCCAGTTAAATCAATTTAAAAATCAAACATGTATAAATTATATATGGTTGGAGAGGTTTATATATGCATACTTTAAAACATACTTCAAAAACAAATATACTCACAGCCTCAAAATTTATCTGGTTTTTCCTCATGAAGGAAACGCAAGCATTTCTGACTGCCATGTGATGAATCTGACAAGCATAAACCTACAAACATTGATATATCAATTAAAATTTAGGGCAATATGAACCAACTACAGTTTCATGAAGCAGAATAGATGGTTCCACCACAAAATCGTGGAGGACAAAATTGCGCTCGACGAAAGCGCGCATTTGATGTCATCACAGCGCGACGAAAACATCGTGCTGTGATTGAAAAATGTAAAAATAAAGCTAAAACCTTACCCTAACCCCCCCAAACCTAACCCTAAACCTAACTCTAAACCTAACCCTTAACCTAACCCTAAATCTAACCCTAAACCTAACCGTTAACGTAACGCTAAACCTAACGCTAACCCTTAACCTAACGCTAAACCTAACGCTAACGCTCTAAACCTAACCCTAACCCTTAACCTAACCCTAACCCTAACCCTAACCCTAAACCTAACCCTTACCTTTATGTGAATCGGCTTGTTTTAATTTTAATTTTATTTCAATTTTTAATTTTTTTCATCGCGCTGTGATGACGTCACATGCACGCTTTCGTCGAACGCGATTTTGTCCTACGCGCTTTTGATGGGTCACGGAATAGATCTGTGTGCAAATTACATTTCTGTTCTGAAGCATCAGAGTTATTAATTCAAAGTTTAAAACAATGTTAAGGAAATCATTCAAATTAAGTAACTTTGGAATGTGATTAATATGCTTCCTTATCTTAAGAGCCTGCAAACAGAAACAAAAATAAAGCAGCGATAAGCAGGATCCTTTACTTTGATAGTAAATTCAAGGATCATAAAACATACAAACTTACCAAGTTTAGCCTTAATCTTTCTTTGGTGAGATTCTGAGACAGTTTGTTATTCAATAAATAGCATTTGGGTCATTTCTAGCCAAAATAGTTATTTCAAATTAGCTAGATAAGGGGGTAAGCATTAGAATAGGATAACAGTTGGAAGGGACCTTGGAGGTCTTCTAGTCCAACCTGCTGCCTAGGCAGGAAACCCTACACCACTTAAGACAAATGGTTATCCAACATCTTCTTAAAAACCTCCAGTGTTGGAGTATTCACAACTTCTGGAGTCAATTAATCCACTGATCAATTGTTCTGTCAGGAAATTTATCTAAATTTCTAAGTTGCTTCTCTCCTTGATTAGTTTCCACCCATTGTTTCTTGTCCTACCCTCAGGTGCTTTGGGCAATAGCTTGACTCCCTCTTCTTTGTGGCAGCCCCTGAGATATTGGAAGACTGCTATCATGTCTCCCCTAGTCCTTCTTTTCATTAAACTAGACATACCCAGTTCCTGCAACTGTTCTTCATATGTTTTAGTCTCCAGTCCTCTAATCATCTTTGTTGCTCTTCTCTGCACTCTTTCTAGAGTCTCAACATCTTTTTTACAGCGTGGTGACCAAAACTGGATGCAGTATTCCAAGTGTGGCCTTATAAAGTAATATTAACACTTCACATGATCTTGATTCTGTCCCACTGTTTATGCAGCCTGTGTTGGCTTTTTTGGCAGCTGCTGCACACGGCTGGCTCCTATTTAAATGGTTGTCCACTAGGACTCCAAAATCCCTCTCAGTTACTACTATTGAGCAAGGTACCACATACTGTACCTGTGCATTTTGTTTTTCTTGCCTAAATGTAGAACCTGACTTTTTTCACCATTGAATTTCATTTTGTTAGATAGCACCCAATGTTCAAGTCTGTCAAAATTCTTCTGTATCTTGAGCCTATCTTGCGGAGTGTTGGCTATACCTGCCAGTATGATGTCATCTGCAAATTTGATGAGTTCCCCATCTATTATACATGCTCCATAGTGATCCATAAATGGCTTACATTAGAACAGTGTTTTCCAACCTTAGCCATATTAACAGGAGTGGTCTTCAACTCCCAGAATACCCCAGCCAGCAGTAGGTATTTCTGGGAGTTGAATTCCACATCTCTTAAAAAGGCTAAGGTTGCAAAACAATTCATTAGAGCATTCATAATTATTCCCAGAGACCAGGTGCATCTCAAAGCAGTCCATGGAACTCAAATGGGAAAGAGGCTACAAGTCCTCTGCTCCTCAAACAGGTTTGCTCCAGCTTTTAAAGTGTTGAATGTTTGTTTATAAATGTTATAAATGGCCTTGCAGTCCAGGCAAAATCCCAACAATACTTACCCATAGCTCAGAGCCAATGTAAACAATAACCCATAATAAGAAAACAATTACAAACTCAGCCAGTTGTTGCACGAGGACCTGATTAACTTATCATTTGCTCAACTGCAGCAAATGCAGTTGAAATATACTACATTTGGCACTAGCTTGGGGAGTTTTAGGCCCAACAAATCAAATTGGGTATCAGGTCAGGAAAAATGCAGTGCACCAACTTCGCTATTTCTGGATTCTCTCTCTCTCTCTCTCTCTCTCTCTCCCTCCCCCCTCTCCCCCTCTCTCTCTCTCTCTGTGTATTCATTTCCCCAAATTCCCCAGCTGATATGGCCACTTGCTGAGACCCTCAAGAACTGAGCTTTGGATACCTGGAGATGTCACCACTTAAAAAGAGTGCATTACATAAACTATCAAATGTTTTATTATTACTTGGGGCATAGTAATTAGTAGATGAGAGACTTCCCATCCTCTTACTTGACATTTAAATACTACCAGAATTTCTGAGGTTCTATTTTCTAAAAAGAAACATGAAAAAACGCTAAGTTCTCTAACTCCCGGTGAATAACATAGAGACCCTTTTAGGGCAACCGTATAGAAGTGCAACTTTTAAGTTGTGTTCTAGATTTCCAGAAAAGTCTACAACAGCTATGCTATCTCCTGCTGGCTCCTGTCCAAGTCCCAAGGAGGCTTAACTATAGCGCCTGAACAAAACTGGTCTGTGTTGAGCTACAGAGTTTATCTTAATTTCCTGAACTGCCTTTATGCAATCAACTTGGAACTCAGCCAGAGTCCACACTGCTAAACCCCAGTTTAACCATGGCAGATGAGTAAACCACTATGTATCAGTAAACTAGGACTACCAATGAAGGTAGCCGGCTTCCCAAAAGACAGGAAAGTCAAACCCAACCCAAGTTTGAAGTTTAACCCACTGTAGGGACCAAACTTCTTTAAAAGTTGGTTGTAAAAGTTAGACACGTTTTTAATCAAGCAAGCAGGACCCTTTCAGCCTGGTTGTGTTAAATTCATACTTCAGGGTACACTTATAGCTGGGTCAACCAATTCATTTGTCCCGGGGTTAATCCCCCCCTTTTTTTAAAGGCAACCGGGAAACGCTTTCAAGTGCCTTCAACAACTTTTTACAAAGCAGAAATAAAACTCGAGAACTTTCACTTCAAGCCGAAGAGGTCGAGGCTGACTCGTTAGGCTTCATCTTCTGCTTGGCCGCTTGAATAGAGACACACCCACCCACCCACCCACCCCAAAAAATAAGGAGAAGGAAGAGTGGGAACAGGCTGGGTCTCTGCTCACGGGTGTTGCGCGTATACACGGTTTAGTGAGTCGTGGTTTTCGCCCCCCCTCCCCAAATAAGCCCAAGAGCCAAGGGCCAGGGGGGGGGGGGTCGTCCCCAAGCGCCAGCCCGGGCTTTACCTGTTCGGAAATGGCCCGAAAGAGACAAGTGGCGTCTTTGGCCGTGAGCTTGCGGTAGAGTCCCTGGCTGCCCAAGTACTCATCCATGGTCACCTCGCTGAGGGACTTCTGCCCAAAGTACTTCTTCCAGCACTTCTGCATGGCCGAGGCAGGGGGAGAAGCAGGCGAGGCGAGGCTGCGGGAAGAGGGAGCCACAGCCCCCAGGGAAGAAAAGGGCGCAGGGGGAAGCTAAGAGAGCGAAGTTGGCGGGGGAGGAAAGCAACGCGCAAGGGTCGGAGCGAGCGCGGCTGGGGAGGAAGGTGTGGCCCGGCCAGGCCTTTATGAAGGCGAGCGTGTGGGGTGGGAGGAGGAGGCGGCGGCCGGAGAGGGTCTCTCAGCTGTCGGCAATTTGCCTCGGGCTAAGAGCGCGCCAGCTCGGCGCACGTGGAAAACCGGCACGTGGCGGACAGCCCGCGTTTGGCTTGGCTTTTCCCACCAGGCGCTTCGGGAGTGAGTGGGTGGGATCCGATCTGAGTCTGGGTGGTGAAGGGAATCCCGCGTGGCCCCTGACCTGTAGGGAGGAGGGGGAAGGTGTTGTTGTTGTTGTTGTTGTTGTTTTTGGGGGGGGGCACTCTTTGGACCAGTCTGCCTGACTGGTTAAGACTGGAGACCTTGGCAGGGATAGGGATAAGGTTTCTTGCCTTGAGCAGGGGGTTGGACTAGAAGACCTCTGAGGTCCCCCTTCCAGCCCTAGGGATTTCTGTTCTATGATTAGTGAATGAGCTGAAGTCTGTTGTGTGGGGTCAGTTGGGGTAATGGAGGCTCCAGGTGTTGCCCATAGGCGCAACCACTCTGATCTAGGGACGGCGTTACCAAATGCCTTTACTTGTCATTAACTGGGAATTGCTTAGACCAGGGGTGTCCACACTTGGGAACTTTAAGACTTGTGGACTTCAACTCCCAGAATTCCCCAATCAGCATGGCTGGCTGCGGAATTCTGGAGTTGAAGTCCACAAGTCTTAAAGTTCCCAAGTTTGGACACCCCTGGCTTAGATGATTACCAGATCTCTCCATAGAGTGGAGAGTGCATGCAAAACAAACCCATGGGCTTGTTTTAAACAGTGTATGCTACATTAAAGTAAAAGGGGTTGTAATCTATTCACCGGCAGTAATGGTTCAGCCTAGGGACAAGGTG